AACACCAAACTTCTATTTTCATCCTCTAGCCTACAGTGTAAGAAGCTTATGTGATGTTTTTGTAATCATTTTGCCAAGTAGGTCTGCAAAACAAATTGTATGGTAAAATTAAGGTAAGAATTCAGTCTGGATATCTATCAAATGGTGAAGAATGTGTGTTCTATGAATTGGAACTACTTCCCTACTATCTAAGTTAAGCTTTAATTTGTTGTCTTATAATTGGGTAACAAACACCCTTTCTTTCCCTGGTAACTGTTACTACTCTCAGGCTATCTAAAAAGCTAATTACTTGAAATCTAAAATCTTTGAAAATCTTAATTTATGTGTTTTTTATTATTTTCTCTTATCTAAAATGTTAGGAGAAAACAAATGTTGATAACTCAGTCTTTTCAGGAAATTCTTAATTCCTACTGATTAAACTTGCTAAGTCCTAGTAATAAGAGTAAAATCTTACCTGTAGGAACAAATAAAGTGTGTCCTTGCTTCACAACACATTTGTAACATTTGTCAACCTTGTCCCCAAAATATACTTCGCTCTGGGTAACAGATGAACTCCAAGACTCATACAGAGCCAAATTTTCATCAGTAGGCTTGATCAAATAGAATATCTTCTCACCCTATTAAACAAAAATTTTAAATAAATAAATGAATGTGCTACTGGAGGCATACTACAATCTGTGAGTCATTCCAGATAAAGTAACAGATTGATCTAAACAGTAAGTATTCCCTATTTCCACCATGGAAAGATGGGGTTTCCTAGTTCCAGGGCTACACAACTGTAATCCAACAAAAGCTCAGTCAATAGGACACTAACCAGTTGGTGTCTTGTGACGTAAAAGAAGCAAACAAACCCAACAAAACTTTTCATTGGAGTATAAAAAAATTCCAGCTTTTATAAACAACCTATGGATATGTGCACACATGCCAATGACAAAACCACTTCGCCTCTCCTATGATGTATACATAATCAAAGTTTGTGAGAAGAAAAGTTGATTATATCAATAGTTTTCATTCAATACATTTTTCATACTAAAAATCTCACTATATCACCTACCAGCCTACTAAAATGATCAGCCAACCAATTGTACCCTAGAAGTCATCAACAGCACACTAAAACAAAAGCACAAAAATGCAATACTGACATCAGCAATTCATTTCCAAGCTCCTCCCTTGGCTTTTTAGCCACAAAATTTCATACAGGTGATAATTCTAAACAGGTGATAATACCACAGTAGAAAGCTGCACACTGAATAAATTTTGTTTCGCAGAGTTGTAAATCAAGAAGCCTTCATACCCAGAGAACATGGTACCAAACTGATGTTCCTCCAAAATCGATATGAAAATCAGTATAACTGTCCTGGACACCCATCAGGCAATACTTCTGAACAAAAGGCTTAGGGAAGACAGAATCATCTGGCCAGTAATTTTCCACCCATGAAAGCTTTCTGGCAATATCTGGTACTTCCACTAATTCAGACATCCTTTAAGAATAAACAAACAAAAAAGAACCATAAATATAATGAAGAGTAAGCACACCTCTTAAAATGACAGCTTTAATTTCTGTTTTCCTACAAAGTTACTACTTATGAATTAATAAAAATGCTTTATACCGGCATTACATCACAGTAGCTGTCTACATAAAATATGTAGCTTTTTATCTTTCCCACTACAGACACTGTATTTCTAAACATACTGTTCAATTTGGTGAAAACCCACTTGCTATGTTCAAGGAACTGAAGTCAATACTCACTTCGTGTCCGAGAACTCCAGGCTGATCACGTTTAATACTTTTGGTCGATCAGGATTTGTGAAGTATTTAATATAATTATGGAGCTTCATTTTACTGTCTGCTTGTCTTGCTACATCTATTACATCTATCACTTTGTCACCACCTGTGAAAAACAGGATGACTTATTTAAACTTAACACAAATAAAAATTAAGCTGATTAAGATGTTTTAAGCGAAATCTAATGTTTTTCCTGCCTTTATCAATACATTTCTGCACAGAAACTCTACTACTATCAGCATTCCCTTGGAAGAGAGACAGATCAGTATAAACCAACTTTTTATTAGGTCTAACTTTAATCACTATAACCAACTAAGGACAGAACTGAAAACACTAAAAATAAACCCTCTTTCCTGTGGTTAACCAAAAAAAAAAAAAAAAAGCCATATAGAATGATGTGGCTGCAATTGGAAAGACTAGAATAGAGAAAGTTATCAAGACAGATCTGTTCCTCACTCTTCCTACTAATCATCACCACAGCACTTGAATATTTAACTCAAAGACCACTGAGAATTCTTACAAATAATAAATCCTACTGCTCACAGCTTGCGATTCTTAGCAAACTGTACTAAACTTCTGCCATAATTGCTAAGTTCTTAACATTAAAAACTATGCAGGTACTCCTCCACAAGCCCACCTCCATCCTCCTTATATACATGTATAACTTTTAAGCACAAAGTAATTTCATTGAATAATTATGTCATGAGCCTGCTCCATTTCTGAAGACAACAAGGATTTGTTTACCTATCGCGTATTTTACGGTGAGACATCTGTAGAACTAGACAAGCAAGAAGCAATCTTTACCCAAGAGAAAGGACTAACAACATTATAACAGCAATCATTTTATGTCCATTTAGTTATACAATATTCAAATCTGACAACTATTTTGGAATGCTGGAATGTATCTTGATGTACATTGCAAACAATTACATTAAAATGGCAAGTTAGTATAATCTTGATAAATTCCAGTTGGAATAGTATTTAGTTAGTTTTCTTATAGAAAGGTAAATCTGTGGCATTTCAATTTTTTTCCCTAAACTGGAGAATCTGGCAGGTCAAAATACATGTATGACAATGAGAAGACCAATTTTGTCCCTGAATCCTGAAGAGGCAGTATTCAAAAAGAAAATATTCAGAAGTATCAAAGTGATAATTACACTTTATAAGCAAAACACATTACTGTTTATAATCATAATGGTAATAACATCCCATATACAACATATTTCCTCTACTTTGCTGCCATTATAAAATGCTAATGGACAAAAAACCTACTTCCAGTACACATCATTATATTAGGTTATCACAAGAACACAGACGAGGCCGTATAGAGACTTCACAACTGTATGTTACTGTATGTTACAAGAAATGCAAAGCTGCCATTGGCTCACTCTCTATGTCACTGTACTGCACCCATACATGAGGCTGAAACAATTACAGACTGTCAAGAGGTCTGATAAGAAAGAAATGGTCCTTGGGAAGCTCTAGCTCTCCCATCTCAGGCAGCCAAGGTGGGAAATTTTCCAGGAAGAAAGATTTAATTCAGAAATGCCAATTTACTGAGCCCAAAACATTAAGTTTTGCAATACCCTAACCAATGATTAAACTTTACTGATCATAACAGTGATTCATTCAATTGCCACAGAGAGAGCAATCTTAAGTTACTGTACTTTATTGGTTCATCACAAGATGTAGCAGGAAAAAAACCCAGCATTCCATGTTTAGCTAGTACTAAAATTAACATGTTTGAAAGTTGAAAAGTAAGGCTATACTCATACCATATCTACCACATGCACACACACAAACAAAAAAAACCACACAAAAACTGTGTAGCTTTAATTTTACCCTCTGCTAGTCTTCAATGTAGAATGTATATTTAGCACCCTGGAATTTCTTACAATCATGCAAATCTTTATATTAATTTACAGACAGGATCATTTCTCAGTACTCCAGAATGACTCTTACCTACATAGCGTTCCACATCTAAAACAGAGAAAGTTGGCGGAGGAAGTCTGAGCCCCAGACCATCTAATTTAGGAACCATAATGGGAACATCAAACCCATGTTTCTCCAAGTATCTTTGTGTCAGCTGGCTTCCATGCATTTTCAAAATGACTTCATCAGCACTGGTGGAAAGAAATAATGGAATATTAGCAGAAAAGCATCCTCCAAAGCACTACTGAAAAAAAAAATTATGTCACAGTTTGGGGAAGGACAGATGGGAATGGCTACATCTGAATCCAAAAGAAGTGGACCTAGAACTATTATATTAAGCATTTAGCTAAAAAACAAAGAAAATTACCTAAACCAGCAAGGAAACATTTACTGTCATGCATAACCTGGAACTCAGTCTTTCTATGTGACTGAACACAGCAACTTAAGAGGATGGGGAAAAGGAATTTTCAGAGAAGGCATTAAAACACATTACGTTAACAACAGCAAACTCCTTTGAAGAACTGCAAATCATTATGTTTCAGTGAGACAGCCAATCACAGACAGCTCAGGATGAAAGTACGACCATTTGTCTCCACTTTCCTCTAAAGCATATGAGGATGGATAGGCTACCAGCTCATATAAACCTTCTGTTATTTGGAATGAAACTGAGGACTGTTCCTGGACTAGACGAATAAACAGACAATATTCTGACAGTTCAGGCACAAAAAAGAAAAACCAAAACCAACCACTCTTGCTACTGCCCCCACTCCCCGACAAAACCAAACAAAAACCCAAAAACTCAAAACACCCATACGACCCTGTAGCAGTTCTGACAAACAACATATCCCAGTGCAAAACTAAACAGGGGAAGCTACTGCATGAGAAGGTAAATGCATCCAACTGAAACAGGGATGGGGTGAGGGGGGATTCTGAAGGAGGAAGAAATCATCCTCGACTTTCATTTTCTGAAGCAGGTGAATGTCAGTCGTCTCTCCTAAGACACACTCAGACAACAACATTTCTCTATTTTTTTTTTTTTCACTGAAATGTGTAAGTAACCCTCTGTACCTTGGGAAAGAGCGAGCCCGCAGCTGTTTAACAAAGGTCCGTGTTCCAGCCTGCACTGGTTTGGAGCCATCATCCAACTCCGTGTAGTCATGTCTGTGCCAGTTCCTCCTCTTCTTCACTACAAGTTTCAGAAGGATTAAACTTTGAATTAGTTAAATCAGATGGTTCAGATTAGCAGTCATCCCATTAGTGAGTTAGACATGTCTCAAACACATTACTATGATTAACAAACCTTGTTTATGCAGGTGACACTCTACCTATCTGCAAAAAAAAAAATCTTCAGGACACCTGACAGTAATCTTCCGTACTTCTACAGCTCCTTCTATGGGACAACCTCAGTGCATATTATACACAATGATTTAAGACTCCATATCCAGTGCAGCACAAGTGAACAGCAGCCTGAAAGCTGTGCAAATCCAAAAAGTTATCAACAAAACTAGAAACACAGGGGGGTTTTTTAATACTAAACAGAAGAATCATACCTCTTCAAGATCCCTAGACTCAATTTCATGTATTAACACAGAATTAACAGGACCGAATCCCACTGTGCTATCTCCCCATACGGGCATACCCATATCCAGCCTGATAATATTACTACTATTCACTACCATATGCTGTGCGAAACCAAACCACCTTTCTTCCATCCAGTGCTTATGTCTCCATAGCAGTTTTGGGTATAACCTGTTTCAGGCAGGTGTGATCTTTACTATACAAGCACAATACATATAACGCAAGCATTGCACCCCAAAACAATCAACCTCCAAGTTGTCTGAAACTTTAATGCACTATTAAAACACACTAGTGAAGAACAATGGATAAATTAATGTTCCATTACAATTCTGGGAATCTGAAACTGATTGTCTGGTTTTTCATTTTTCTCAGCCCTTTAAGAAAAGGGAACTGTTAAAAACGCGACTTAGTTGCTGTTGGGCTTTCTCATAAAAACTGTTGTGTTGATCTCCACATGAGAAATGACAGACAGATACACAAATGAGAAGAAAAACCTGTTGTTATAGAATGGTTTGGGTTGGATGGGACCTTTAAAAATCATCTAGTTTAACATGCCCTGTCATGGGCAGGGACATCTTTCACTAGACCTGGTTGCTCAAAGCCTCCTCCAACCTGACCTCAGAACACTTCCAGGGATGTGGCAACCACAAGGAGACACAGAAGAGGGAAAAGCTACTGTTACTTGTCAGCACAAATGGTGTTTTACAGGCGTATACAAAACAGCCTGCGATGCAAACACAACACCCAGCTAAACAACTGTATTAATACAAATTTGGACTTTGGAAGAGCTCATTTTTAAGTTTAACAAAGTCATGATGCATTCAAAATCTAAAAAAGTGCTAACAATACTGAAAACACAGCTAACAGTAACAGGAAACTAAGGATTTAAGAGGGAAAAAAATTAGTTCCTAAAAAAGAGAAGAAAAAAATGCTGCTCCTCTAGAAAAAAAAAGTTATATAGGAATAACTGGCATCTTATAGTTATTACATATAATAGATAATTATTCCTATTGATAAGCTGTTTCCTAGAGACGTGACAAAATGTACCCCTTAGAAGATATTTAAGAGAATAAACTGACATTTATAGCTCTTTGCCAACCTGAAAATCAGTGCTGAAGAGCCTGCTTAATGAGCCAACTATCCAAATACAGTAAAACTTCATAAATGATGAAGCCAGGTTTATTAAGTTATCAAAGATATTTTCTCAGTCATAAATAATAATACAAGAAATTAATGCCTAATACTAATTTGAAACAGAGTAGTTGCTCATAAATTCACTGCTGTTATAACAGCTCATTAAAACTGTAAGATGATACAGCTGCCAAAGAGATTTTATAGCACAGAACCAACTTTTCAAAATCTGTCTTTCAAAAATTTAAAAATTAGAAAGTAAAGTAATACTTTTACTTAGCACTTGGCAATGTACATCATCCTTACATAAGTAAGAGAACACTGAAGAACAGAAAACAGCAATGAAAACTTTCTCCACTTACATATCTCTTAATTCTAGCACTTTTATAACCCCTTAAGACATTACAATAATAGTTGCAAGAAAAATAATTTAACTGAATGGATCCTCATGCTCAAATTAAAACAAAAAAAACTACATAAATTGAAATGCAAATATAACACCCCTCTCCTCCCAATTACTCCAAAACAGCAAAAGGAACTAGTGTTCACCCTTGCTGTTCCTGAAAACCACTGTGACAACACTAAAAATACACACACAAAGTACACTTGACAGTTGCAGGGGGGGCGAGAAAAGGAAGGGAGTGTGCTGGAAGTTTTCATTAAAAGTAAACAGAAAGCTATTTTTAAATTACATTTCTTATGCACTCAAAACAATGGGCCAATAACTGTACCTACATCAGGCAAATGCTATTCCCTGCCTTCTCACACTACCAGTCTGTTTGCCTCAGAGGTCATATGCTGGACTGCAAAGGGCCATCAAGAGGTGGGCATCTGTACAGTGAGGCCCCAAGTCTTGGAAGCAGTCCTCTAGGTTATTGCCAGTGACCAAAAAGGCAAGAGAAATGTTAGCATAGGAAGACAGCAAAATTTTAAGGAGCATAAAGTGAATGACAGAATACCACTTCTGAGGCCTGGTACATCATCTGGTATCATCAGCTCACACCAAACACCAGCACCACTACCACAGTCAAAAAAACCCAAACAAACAAACAAAAAAACCACCCCAAAACCCCCAAAACCCGAAACAATCAACAATAGTGGGAGGGTATTTACAGAATCTGAGAAGGTAAAACCAGATTAAGAAAGTAATGCCTTGACAATCACAGTCCTGTTAACATTTACTGCACCTCATGCTCTCTTAAAGCTCTGGATTCTAGAGTCTGGTGACAGACTGCCAGCATTCGGGCAAATAGAGCATTTTCAGACTCAAAAACTAAGAAAACTTTGAAAATAACAAAATATAATATGAAGACTTGAAACCAAGTAAGCTAAGGAAAGTCTATAGTGTATTGCTATTTTAAAAAATCACTCTTTTTTAGTTATTTATGATTTTAGGATTAATTACGTAGCATTTTACACAAATGGCTGCTTACTAAAGGTCTTGTAAAATTGTTGCTCTTCCAAATCAAGAGGAGGATTTCTTTTTGTTTGAAATAGAAAAAGAAATAGATTAGTTAATTCAATCTTTACATCTAACTATGCAGTAGCTTTCTTTTCAATATTGGAACTTCTACAGAATTAATTTTGTGAGCTACTGAAAGCAATCACCCATTTGGTACCATGAAGTATGTGTTTCTTGAACATAGTAATTTTGTTGCACTAGGTCATTTGATTAGATGGGATTATATATACAACTGTCTGCTGAAATCACAGATATACTTGCCCTCTTAAACAGCTGAATTTTTGTCTCCTTCAAAACTCCTTTAGACAGAGGGATTTTACAATACAAAGCTGTAAACACTTTTTTTTACTTACATACATAGTTTCATGATTGAAGCACACTGGAGCATTGCTGCACTTGAAGTCATGAGACATTACCAGTCTCTCTAAACACTAAAGAAAGTACAGCCCAATTTGATTCTGACAGCTTAGCTAAGAACAATTAATAAAACACTAGATGAAGGCATATTTCAATATATCACCTCTGCTTGGTTTGATAAGTGGCATGTCTGAAGCTTCTGCTAAATCTAGATGATCTACTTACTTCAGGCAATACGAGGTAATAAGGATCATTTTTACCACAGATTCTTGTCTTCCTGAAAGGACTTCAACACAAAAATCACTGTCAAATTGCTGCAGGTGAGACAGAGCTCGCATTTGAGCCAGCAGACTCTGCATTACAGGAAAGTAAGTAATGGGAGAAAATCTAGGGAGCTGGATAAAGCAGTATCCTTTCAGTAGTTACAGGAAGACAAAAACTTCCATCTTTCCACTGCAGATCTCTACAGCAAATTTAGCTACTGAAAGGAGAACCTTGCTGCTCTGCTTCATAGACTCTTCTGGCAAGTCATAAAATTGCATGAGGACCTTGGTGGAAACTTGTCCATAAATCAGAAACCTGAGATTTGGAGCTGTGTAACTCTCGAGGACATAAATAGCAAAACAAACAACCAACCCACCCAGAGGAAGTTCATATTCTCTGATTTTACTGGACTGTTGTGCCATATAGCCTACAATCATCAAGAAAGGTAAGACAGGTAACTCGTATGTTTTCTCAAACTTGCCTTCCTAGGTATTAGAATTTTGATTATTAAAATTAAGAACCTTAAGCCATCTTTTGGATTTTCCTTTTTTTTTTTTTTTAATTATTATTTTCTCATTTTCATTCTCTCACCCTCTGTCAAATTCAGATTGTTTTCTTCTGGCTCTGTGCACTCTGATTTCTCTAATCTATAGCAGTGGCTTATATTTTATTCTATCTGAATCTCCCAATAAAGGAACCTTTCATTGATAGTTTGTTTGTTTTGTGGCTTTTTATCAGCTCAGAGTCAGTCATGTAGTACCTTCTAAATAATCAAACTCATCTTGAATGTTATTCTGAACAGTCTTTTCCAATTGTATATGAAGAGAAAACAGACTAAAAGTGTAAAATAAAATTGGAATAACCCATACTTACTTAGAGAAGGTCCATGGAGAATTGCACAGTTGGGACAATGGTACAGATCAATGTCAACAGCATGGTGCTCCTCTACCCCAACGCAGCTGGAATAATATTTTTTAAATGTTAATGAGAATACATGCAAGTCTGATTATTCAAGCTAAAAAAAATAATTAAATCTTAAGGTTTTACCAGAACATGCTTAGTCTACAAAATCGGAATGACATACCAAATTATCTCAACTACTACATTGCCACATAAATTTTGAGTAATAGTTTATCACTGAACAGAGAATCCCATTAAAAAAAAAATCATAAAAAGGAAACAAGAATCAAGCTTCTTTAAAAATGAGTCCACAATATATACCATTACCCCTCAACCCCCATAAAAGCTTTGATCCTAATTACAGGAAACAGTATATGCAGAACCATTCAAGTAATTCTCCTTATAAAAGTTATTACTTTAAAAAATTCTTAAGTCTACGTGCTGTCAATTTATAGAAGATATCATGGATTTTGGGGGGTTTGGTTTCGTTTGGGTTTTTTTTTTCCCCCAGAAAGCACATCACTGACTCCTACTCCCCAAGACAAATCAAAGAATACTACTTTCATATTCTTCCTGAAATCTTTACACTACTAGTACTAGCTATCAAGTTACATCAGTGACTGCACAAATCACTTTGTAGAAGTGTTTTTGTTCCAAAATAGCAACAAGTATTTCAAAGAGCACTTGAGAGATGTAACATTTTCCCAGTGCACATTTTTTTCCCAGATAAAACATTCAAAGTGGGATTAAAGTTGTAGATCTTTATAACAGTCATGACAAAGCATCTACACTTCTGCATATCTAAATAATACAATTTTAAAGTCAAAAGGAAGTACATTTTCTTAGAAGCTCAAACAGCAGAGGTTTATTGGAGAAGATGTGCTTTTGCACAAAGTTCAAGGAAAAAAAAAAGTAATCCCTACTTGCTATTAGAATCTGAACCCTGGCAGATTCTCTCAAAAGTCCATATAAAGTTGCTGACTTTCTAACACAGAAGCAAGGCTACAACATTGAACATTTATATTAAATACCAAAATCAGGTATTTATATTCAATGCATCCTAGTAACATGAGAACTTGCACAGTACTCCGTTCAGGTAACTCATTTAACATCAAAGTGTAATGACAGCTTAAACACTGAAGCCTTTGAAATGATTCAGCTACTAGCAGCCTAGTGCCACAACTACTGACACACTCAGGGCAGGGTCAGTACCCGCTGCCAAAACAATACACACCAAACAGCTGAGCACTCAAAGGACACCAGTGAGCAAATCAAATCTGAAACTGAAGAGCACTTCCTATGTAACTACCAACAGATACACCACTCTGAATCCTCCGTAAACAAATTCAGCTGGTTCTTCTACTTCCCCAATCGCTACACAACCACATGAAATTTAGAAATTACAAAGCTTTTTTTAATACTTACTATTTTAAAATCTAAATATAAAACTCAGCTGCCAGAGTTCATCACAATTCTTGCAATATTTAGCATCTGTTTTAAGACCATAACTATAGGAATTGTTATTACATGAAAATTCAGCTGACAGATAAACAAAAAGGAAGGCAGAAGTAGTCTTTAAAAATGAATGTCCCATTTCCTTCTGCTTGTGTTCTCCCTCTTTTTATAGAATAGATGAGTGATTCATAATCCTATGTACTATAAGAAAACTGTTTTAAAATGTACACTCTAAAAGACCCAAATGAGAAGGCTGTTTTTTTATATTCTTAGGAATCCCATTATTTTAGCTAAATTTATGATTTTTTTTTTAACAGCTAAAAATATTTTGCGTTGGACTATATCTTGATCACATTTGCACAATTTTTCAATGAAACACACTGAAAACTTCACTTCCTTTTTTTAGGTGTTTATCTATCTGACCCATTCATCACCACCCCAATCTGATTATCTTGCTGACTAACAGTAAGAACTCTGAATCAGAGTATAGTAAAAATACCTTTAAGATTTGAAAATTGTTTGTCATCTTCTGTTTAAGAATGTTAATTTTATTGTCTCTTATAGAATGTTACAGATAACAGAATTTCTGCTTTATTTTCAGGTTAAGTACTAAACACTTTCTCTGACTTGAATAATTCCATAACCTTTCATGACAGCACGTGGGGCTTTGTGTACAGAGACAGCAGGCGACACTGGAATGGTATGAGAATAGCTACAATAGCCATTCAATAAAGAAAGCAAACATTTTCGGTCTACTATTTATGCTTTAAACTCAGAACTAACTGGAAAGACAAAACACTAACTGGGAGACACTGGAAGTTAATCTACTCTTGTAGCAGATACCCAGCTGATGCGGAGGGCACACGAGGTGCCAGCACCTGCAAGAACAAGCATTGCCAAGGATGCCACAGAGCGTATCAATCACACACAGCACCACCACCACTCACCTTCCCGACTGCCTTTTTCCCAAGTACACAGATGAATCTGACATTAATCATTCTGGCTACTAGCAAGCAATCAATTACTCTGCTAAGTGCAACTTCAGACCTCAAGCATCAAAGCAAGGTCACCAAGAGGTAGCAGAGAGCCTGGAAAGCATTAACATACTCAAACACAGTAACACTCCCAATTCACTGATGTTTTCCTGAATGAAATATCATTATTACCCTTCACCTCACCATCCATTTGGGTTGAAATGTCTTTAGTATGTATTACCCAGTTTCTGAATTACTCATCTCCTGCAGGGAGGCTGCAGACTAATCCTCAGGAATGGTGAAAAGTTTACATATTGCAAAATAAAAAATAAAATACAATAATAATAATAAAACCACAACTGTAGGAGACTGCAAAAATACACCTCTAATTCTGTTCATGAAGGTGGAAGGCCTGAAGGGGCACAATTTTACTTGAAATGGTTCTAGAAGTAGCAAGGTAGAAAAATGTAATTACAAATAGACTCCACCATATCAGTCTGAGTGGTCAGGCTTTCACACCCCCCCTGAGGTGTCCAGTATCGAGGCAAGGTCAGCAAGAGGTAGTACAAGAATCGGGGAAGTGCTAAGTTTTTCACATACAAGAACATGCCCATCCCTGACAACTAAAGACATCCCTTGCTACTCAACATTTGAGGAACCAATTCTCCAGACTTAAGTCTTACTAGAAGGTGAATGTTTTTTATTTAGTCTCAACTTTCCATTTGATTATTATATTTATAGCTATGTAAAAGGAGTAAGTGTAAATCAAAAACCATCAGAAGAGGACTAACATATCTGTTATGGACTTCTGCTTTTCTCTGAGGGGAAAATAAGGCTTCTTTCACAGGGGAAAGAAAAAATCCTGCAGAGGCTGTTCTCTACTGCAGTATTGCTATTAATTTAGAATTTAAGAGATGAGTACAGATAATTTGGTGTGACAGATGCAACAATTATTTCACAATTATGCTGGAATGCCTTGTACGAGGAGTTTGCGAAAGTCCAAAACATTTACAGGAAGCATTATCCCTGAAGACTGTGTGGTTGTACACAGTAAGCCACCCAAGACACCTGGCACCTCTTCTCTCCTACAGCAGCACGACATGGTAAACAAGTACTGGATCCACGTTAGTCACCACACAGGCTGCCGCACCTTCCAAATCTAATACCTGCTCGCTCTCAATCCAGCCTGACCTTCCCTACTTCTGATGTTATCAAGCACAATCACCACATTTTAGAGATTGCTTAACTGCCTCTGTCGGTATGACTGAAAGAATCCTGGTTTAAGAAAAAAATATCCAAAGCACTCTTGATTCAAGGCCTTATTTTCAGTGTCGTTAAAGGGACACGACTACGTGAAAAGCTATTTAAACAAGTACTGTATATACTCTGCTGTTATATAAAATTCCAAGTATAAAGGGAATGATTACACACATAGCACTGCAGAAGTCACACAGGAGTAACGTTTGAGTGCCCATTTGCCCAATTTAATTGTCACAGCTGAAAAGACTAACAGGTCAGACTATCAACTGTCAGCAAGACGTTCCTACTAGGAAATTTCTGAGATTTCCTGTACACAAGGCATACTGAAAATCTAAATCTTGAAACTTTATTAGAGTTTAAAGCAACTATTGATGTTCTAATAAAAGGACTGCAGAAAACCGACAGATCATCCTCAACATGGAAAAAATTAATTTGTCAAGAAGCTGGGTTGTAAGTAGGACATCATCCTCTTGGATTCCATCTTCTGTTCCTTTCCCCCATCACTTCAATTCTCTAAGCTTCTTTTTCACCTCTTTCCATAGCATGTGGAAAACAACGTAGCTGACTCCTCTTTCTAGATGCAATTGTACTACTTAAGAAGTTTCTTACAGTAGCTTCCACTTCTCAACACCAGCATGATACTTTGTACCTATAAGCTTCACCTAGCAGATGAGGAAATATGACAGGACATCACAGGAACATCTACTACTTCTTCAACAGATATTGTTAAACAGATATTGCTTTACAATTAGATATTGACTTATAGCTCAAAATTGAGGTGAAGTATTTTTTTTAAGTTTCTTAATTTCTTCTTGGGGCACGTGAAGTTCAGGCGCAAAGACCTCTTGGTTTTCCACAATCTGACCTGAAGAGTCTCACCGTTTGGCTGTCATTGTGCAGCAAAAATGCAGGTTCAGGACCCTTGCTAGCACATTTAATGAGGCACAATACTTTGCGTCTTTTACAACCTATACAATTACTGAAAATTACATTTCCAAGATCTCCTTACATTCTCCCTGAATAAACACTATGGGTAATGCTCTTTTTCTTTCTCTACTATACTATTTCTGAAAAAGAACTCGGCACATCCTCTTTTTCAAGTCCGCCCTTGTATCAGCACCCATCACCTTTCCTTGCCATGCCTCAGAGAGCACTGCGGACTTTATCCGGCAGAGTAGGGAAAAAGCACAAGTCTTGACATGCAGTGGGAACAAATGAAAAAAAATCCTGGACCAGTGCAAAAATACTAGGGGTATTAGCACATGTTCCCTGTTACTAGGAATGCAGGGCTATAGGCAGTTACTATACTAGGGGTATAGGTATGTTTCCTATTATCTGACAGAGCAGATCCCCAAAATCTTTTTCCAACTTCCAGTTATCCACAGAACAGCTGAGAAGATACACACATAGCGAGTCCCTGCTGCATCTTAAGAGGGATAAGGAAAGGAGCAAGTCAATTCTAGAGGTGGCAAAGATTCATTAGTAACAGGACAGTCTTAATTGTCTGAAAACTGAAGTCACTACCACAGGGTACAGTTTCACGTAATATTAAACTGAGTGTAGCTGTTGCTGCTGAGAAAAGGTCCCACCCTCCTTCCTCCAGCTGTCTCACCATGGACTTCCATTGTTTCTCTCACCAGATCTAAACCATCAGGCAGCCACATGATGAGTCAGTTCAACAAGCTGATCCAAAGGAAAACAAATTAACCACCATTCCACTCACTTTTTCAGATAGGCTTTAGAAACCCTAACAATAAGATTCCTACAAATGAACTTTTAAAAAGGTACATGTTAAAAAGCCAAACCAGGACACAATTATATGTAGTTATTTATCAAATATATAATTTGATGTTATTTTCAATGAATTATATTTGAAAATACTGTTATTTCATCTCTACACTATTTTGTCTCTCTAAAAATGATTGCTAAACAATAGGAAAGAGATGTCTGTTTAGCAATCTTATGCTGACACTATACACATATAAGAAACTGACACTTGCCTTTTTCATATCAGGCCTTATTACTGAATTTCAAATCACCACAGATGAAAGATATTTCTATTACTAAACTGACCAAATAACTGTAAGTAGTACACAAGTATTACAGTAAACTTTTTACCTGTAACAAGCTCTGCAGTTGCTACCTTCAGCCCCGATGTCTTCAAATGTAACAAAGCCTCAAATACTATTGCATTTATTGTAAAAATTAATTAGCAAACTTGCAAGTTATGCAAAGAACAGATTCTCCTCTTCTCCTGCTCCATCCCAAGAATGAAAAAAAAAAAGCATGGGATAGAAGTCAATTTGGCAAACTTTAAGGAATTCTGGTTAGTCATTTCATTCAAGCCTATTCTTTCCAAGTAGGAAAAGGATGCCAAGTAGGGAATTTTACAGGTTAAAACAACAGAAGCACTAAAGATGTCACTGCCACAACCAAATAGCCACATCTGTCACTCATTTAGGGGCAATATTAAAATACTTAATTATGAATAGAAAAACAAAGTCATAGTGTGACAATACTGTTGACAGCCTAAATGCCATCCCATAGCGCAAGAACAGCTAAAAAGATGAAGTTTATATGAAGAAGACTCTCAAACTTGAAATAAACATAGTGAGCTTTAAAAACCAGAACCTCAAGTGCCAGCTAGTTGTTTTTTTTCTCCCCCCCCCCTTCAAAATGCATGGAGTTACACTGAAGTAATAAAACTGATGAAAAAAACACAAAGCAACATGGGAAAGTACCCAGGAAGTACATGGGAAACTGCAAGCTCTCTCTCAACCTTACCACCATAAGCCTGGTAACAATTCCAGAATCACAACACTAGTAATTTTACCTTTACAAGGATTTACTTTGGCAACTAAATAATTTTAAAGAAGTGGCAAAGACTCCCATCTTTCTTGGTTCATTTTCCCAGTGTGGCCAGACTGATACACCAAAGAAAGAGAAACTGTAGGCCAATCTTACGTGAGGTACTATGTCTTCACAGAGTTGCAACTGCTAGAAGCATGTTGAAGTAAATGAAAGCTACCCTGTCCTTCCCACGACTGATGCAGTAAAAAGGATCAGCATTGGATTTCAAGTAATCCTAGGAATAGTGGAGTCCCAACTTATCTGACCACAGCCAACATGAATTTGAGTTCTGGTTATCATGCAAAGTCTGTAACAACTTTGTTTCCTATTAGGAAGCACGAGCCTTACATACACAGAAGAAGATATACATTCATTATTTTGTTCAAAGAGAGAGGGCATTGGAAGCGGAAGAAAGAAGACAAAAATTAACTGTCTTCCTATATGCTGACAACAAAGGTTTTCTAGGTTTTTCCATTATGTATTTTTATCCCCTCCTCAAGGCTCCAAGCCAACAAAAGTCCACCTCTTTCTCTCTAAGATATTCCAGAACCTACTAAAAACTTCGGACAGATAACTGCATCTTATTTACATAATTTGTCTTATTTAAATTCCCAGGCAGGGTTATTTTGTTATAATTGTGCTTAGAAATTAAAACAAAAAAGAAACAAACAAAAAACCCCATACCTTACAACCAAGAAAAAAAGTACTTTAAATAATACCTTCAAAAATGGATGTTTTAAAGGCAGAACCAAAACTCCGTCTCAATTCTACAAAAAGAAAAAAAAGAAAAAAAAACACAAAAAACAAAGAAAAAAAAGAAAAAAAAAAGAAAAAAAAAAAACAGAAAAATACACCAAACCACAAAATCTTCAACCCATTTAAAACAGCTGCCATAGCTCTCTTGAAACAGATGTCTTAACTGAGTGCCTGTGTGTGGTTGTATTCTACTTGAGAACAAACTACTACCCAAAAGTGTTACCATTATTTCCCTAATAATGGAAGAAGAAATAGGCTGAGCTATACTGCTATAGAGATAACAAGAGGGTGGAAAAGGGAAGTCAGTAGACAAGTTAATTAAACCTTCATTCATTCAGGAATGAAGCTACTACGGCAACTGTAATTCAGCAAGTGAAGGCCACCCCATTTCCTGAATGAAGATGTAAAAATGAAATTTAAATAATTTTGTTGTTGTCATTATATATTGCCTACCTATGTTTGCTTGCCTCAACCCTTACATTCTTCATTTTTCATCTTCATCTTCCTCAGCGCCAACTTGCATACAGACTCCTGTTAATTATCACTCTGCCTCTAGCCATCTTAATGAAACGTTGCATATGATGTGACTTTAAGAATTACCGGCATCCCAAGTCCTCTAACCGTGATCAACACAAATTTCAGTTCCAGTGCGGTTTCCTATTAGGTAGCAAGGGCATCACATACACAGAAGAGACATGTTAGTTACTTATTTATTTCTAAGAGAGGGGACATTGGGACAAGGGTAAGGAAGAGATAAATTAACTGAATCACAAACAAGCTATAAAAAGAAACTGAGGTTCAATCCAAAATGACAAACAAATCTGAGGAAGCAATGACACCTAACACCGTGCAGCCACTGAAGAGGCAGGTTCCTCATTCCCTTCCAAGCACTCCCCACTGCATGTTTACGAAGCAACCTGTTTTCACTGAGGCAACCTGTATCCACTCGCTTATCTCACAGAAACCAACACAACCCGTTTTCTGCCTGTTTATCAAGTTAGCTCACAGCACAGTCAGACAACTATCAGAGCCATACCATGAGACAGAGTGGGGCCATGTAACCTGGAAAGAGGGATACGAGAAGTTCTGGCAATGGAAGTCACTAGAACCAGTCACTGTTGAACTGCATTCTCGTTATTCTCCAATACTCAGAACTACTTTGATCCAACAGACAAATTGCCAATAGCTTACCAACTAGATTGTAGGGAATATCCCTCCCTGCATCTGAAAAACTTCCTAGAGATTAATTATATACCCTGCACAACATCGAAAAAGACATTACTAAGACCAAGAGATACATATATTTGCAACAGATGCCACAAGTGAACCAAAGTTTTTTAAATAGAACAGCACTGGAGATACCTACAGGCTGTTGGACTAAGTATCTCAGTTTTTCTTTGATGAAGTGTTTAGTTTTACCAGTTCCTTGAGATGAGTTATCTACAGCTCCAACCACAAAAGTAGCTGACAAGTACTAGGCAGAGCTCTGGCTTTATGCCACTACCAATCTGTTATTTGCCTACAAAACACTCTTTCCATTAATTCACTGAAATACAGCAGTAACTATCACAGATCAGAAAGAAGTCACTCAAACAGTTTGAAAGCCACATTTCTAAACCACATCAAACATGACTTTCCATAAAGCAGGACAAAATCAGAAGGACAAATTTTTATCTTGATTCCTACCTCCTAGTTTGAGAGATATGTGATGACCATTCTGAAGTGTGAAGGTACCTACCTACCTGCTTTTATTAAAGGAAATACTGCTTTATAGGAGCTTGTTGGGAAACAAGACTTAATGTTTGGGGTTTGTTTTTTAGAGATTGAGCCAAAAAAACTCACTGACAGCTCTTGCATATTCACCCAAAGCAGTTTGTGAATTCCACAGTTACTCACAACTCAGTCTCACCAAAAAACACTTACAGAATCATAGGATATCTCAAGTTGGAAGGGACCCAATACGGATCAAGTCCAACTCCCTGTTCCTCACAGGACTACCTAAAACTAAATCATATGACTAAGAGCATTGTCCACACACTCCCTGAACTCTGACAGGCTTAGTGCCATGACCACTTCACTGGGCAACCTGTTCCAGTGACCAACCACCCTCTCAGTAAAGAGCCTTTTCCTAAAGTCCCGCCGGAACTTCCCCCGAGGCAGTTTCACTCCGTTTCCTCGCGTCCCGTCACTGGACACCAGCGCCTCCCCCTCCACTGCCCACCTTGAGAAATTGTAGGTTGCAATGAGGGCACACCTCAGCCTTCTCTTCTCCAAGCTGAGCAAACAAATTATATTATTTAAAATAATATTCTTACGTAACAAACAGATCTCTTCAATATCAGCTATTAGGCCAACCACCACTTTTAGGGGATCTGTACTGTATATTAAAAGTAAGTTTTAATTCATTTGGGAATTTGCTGGTATGTCTTCAGCAGTTTCATCTCCTTTTCAACAGCCAGAAGTGTTGACTGCTCCTCATCAAGGAAGGGCACGGACTGCAGCCTCCTACAGAGAGTGCTAGCTGGTTATTCCAGTTGCCTAATAAAGATGAACTGTTTAGAAATATCAGGTTGCCTAATAACGATGAGCTGTTCAAAAAGATCATGAACCATGACAAGCACTATCAGTACTGTGTTATGTTATGCAATGCACAGTCTGTAAAGCTTTCTACATCCTCAGTAGCACCGTCAGTAGACTCCACCAGATCTACCTTGTTCTCTCCCAAGCACAGTGACAAAAAAAGGGTTTGGAGCTGAACACCACCAAACCCACAATGGCTTCCTAGCCTGAGGGAACTGATTAGGAAGCTAATGATTGTTTTTAAACTGTTCCCCTTCATTGGAAAATGACATCAGGCATGATTTGAAAATACAACTTCCTGCTAACGATATCAGGCCCTCACGTTCTAACACCAGTAACCAGTACCAGCACCACCTCCAGACTCCACTGCTGCAAATCCCTAGTTTCTGGGTTATGACAGACTTGATGCTTTCACAGCCTGCAGCAACAGCAAACTTGGCTTCAGCCCGCTTTACACACTTTTTAACTGGCTCCTTACACCAAATACACTGTATCACCTAACTGGTTTCAAAATTTCTGAAGCAGACTGGTTTAAAAGACCTCCTGGAGCCGCCTAATAAGTAGCCTCGACACTCACAGTAGCATTCAGAGTCTCTGCAGCTGTACATGAAATTATTTTTTTGTTGCCTTCAAAATTCAACTCATTAAGAAGTTCTCTTCCTTTAAGTAAAATATTGCAAAGACAATTTTAAGCTACTCTGCTTCCCAACTGTGTAATTCCCCCTCCAGTTTCCAATATTTTAAAGCCATTGCTAAGAACTTTTTCGTAAGCTTTTCAGTAAGCAAAATAATTTCTGCATCTTCTGACTAAAACAAAAAATAATAAATGATGGCTCCTATAGCTTTGAAACACCCTACTTCTATAAGGCAAACAGACTTGCAGTCAATGTCAGATAGAGACAGACGTTTTATTTTTCAAGAAATCTGAGAGCAAACTGGCTCGTCATCTCTAGCTCACCATCCTCATTTTAAACACAGATGGAGTAGCTGATTACATTAACTTCTATTTAAGCTATGATAGAAGCAAACTGTTTCAGATACACAGATAATGAGTTTAAATATCAGATGTTACATTGGCTGGCTGGCAGAGTAGTAAGTAGAATAAGCTCCTTCAATCAACTAGATAATGCCCGTAAGTTAGAGATCGTTATTGGATTCTCAGCTACTTAGAGGTCCAGAGTGGCACACTGGCCAAAACTGCATCCATGAAGTCCATAACATAATGAGAAGTTACTCTGACACATTATTCTGTCTACAGAAATCTGTTTGATCCTCTTCAGATGGAATTAATGAAGCACAGTAATTTTCAGACCACATGGAAACTTCAAATAGCAGAACAAAGCTAAATAGAGTTTGGGGGTTGAGTTACATCAACACTAAGATTTAATTTTATCTGCATTATTTTTATTCTGGATATAATTTGACATACTGATTTTAATCTAAAACTCTAAAAGTTCAGATCCAGGTTACTGAAACCAGTTTTTCCCTACCGTAAGCCAGTCATCTAAGTTATTTGCAAAAGCACAATTCCTTATATTTTATTCTAGATTTTACACACAAACACTTATAGAGGTATTCTTTACTTCACAGTCTGTGCTACTCAGCTCCACAGCTTTTAGATGAGAGGGAAAAAATACTTCACCTATGTATCATTAGTGTATGCACATACAGCTCTTACAATGCCACCTTCTTCACAGTGGACAAGCCATAACATTCCATCAAGAATGCTCAAAGATAGGCACAAGAAAAGCAGGAAGCAGAGGACCTACTGCAAAAGGTCCTCTGGAAATTAGTACATTTACCATTCCTGTAAAAATTACAGGAGGCATTATGGTTCACTCACTGTGAAAAACACAAAATTAATTATTTGTGAGAAAAATTCTGACTCAAATTTTGCTTAATTGTTTCTGTGAGACAAGATGGGAAGCCTGCCAAAGAGCAACACGTCCAAGTGTTTTATTTTGGGTGTGAATACTACAAGAAGTGATTATACGAAAATGTTTTGATACAAGCTAAGTAAATCATGTCTTTGCAATTCAAGAGTGAAAGCACACATTACTACAGGTCTTGGGCTTTGTCTGCAAGGGTAATCTGCACCTTGTAGCCCTGACGGACAAACCGATCCTGACCCAGCAATGCAACCTCGTGGCAAAGGCAACCAACAGCCTCCTGGGCTGCATTAGGAAAAGCATTGCCAAAAGGTTGAGGGAGGTGATCTTCCCCCTCTACTGAGCACTGGTGAGGCCACACCTGGAGTGCTGGGTCCAGTTCTGGGATGCCCAGTAGAAGAGATATGGACATACTGGAGCAAACCCAGCTACATGCCACTAAGATCATTAAGGGACTAAAGCATCCTTCAGATGAGGACAGGCTGAGAGAGCTGTGATCCTTCAGCCTGGAGAAGAGAGAGCACATGGGGTATCTTATAAATGCGTGTAAATATCAAAGCGTATTAATTCCCTTGATGGGAAGGGACAGGTGACAGACTTTTCTCAGTAGTGCCCAGTGACAGGACAAAATGCAATGGCCACAGATTAAAGCATATTAAATTCCATTTGAACACAGGGGTGGGGAGAAATATTTACTTATTTTTTAGCTGCTAGAGTGGTCATTGGAAGCATTTGCCCAGAGAGGCTGCAGAGTCTCCATTTGTGGAGATATTCAGAACGCAATCAGACACAGTTCTGAGTAACCTGCTCTAGCTGACCCTGCTTGAGCAGGGGATGTGGACTATATGATTTTAAGAGATCCCTTCCAACCTTGGTAGTTCTGTAATTCTGTGCAAGTTATTTATTAAATCAATTTTCTACATTAATTTGGATCTGCCACTACACTGTCATAAATCTGGTTTATACCAAAAGCAAGACCACCTGAGGACTTTTGTTCCACATTGATTTATACTAAGTGGATTCATTAAAATAGCAAGTAGAACAGGATGCAGCCTTGGAATGAACAGTTGTAAGGAACAAATATTTTCAAATCCAGAGCAGAGAAGAACGAGGGAGAAATTGCAAGAAGACACACACGCACAAAAAAGGCTACGTCTATAGAAGGGTATTAGGGCAATATCCAAATAAGGATACTGGCCCTCAAACCCTACCTAAATTCAGAAGAAGGACAGCTAACCACACAGGTACCTACACTCACCTGGCACCTCTCCACTTGACCTGAAAATTGCAAAAGCACCAAGTACTGTGCTCGCCCTGCACACCCAGCCAGCGTGCGCGACATTCCCTGGCATCTAAGCCCAAAGGCAAGCACAACCGCGACACTTCCAAAGTACCAGGCGCTAGAAACAGTTATGAGGGGAGAAGTTATTTTGTTTTTCCAAGTGAGATGGCAGCAGTGCTTATTCAAGGTTGTGGGAGTTCAAGCCCACACATCTCAAGGGAATGTTCACCTCCAGGTTATTTTTTTATGCAGATGCTCTTTATCTCCTCCACTTATGGCCTCTTACTCCACAGAAAAGAATCCAAGAATTATGGGCCCAGAACGGAATGCAACATGACCCAAACATAATCTCCTGGCTGGGGCACTCAGACACGGACAAGATTATCTTGAGTTCTGGTCCCTGCTCCAAACATTAGTGAATAAATACATACAGTGAGTATGTATTACAGCACAACCTTTTACAGGTCTTAAGACATACTTTTTCTTAGTCTTCTGATTTAACAGTGTTTCCTACAGGAATAGAACAGCCTGTCCTCTGACTATGAATACACCTGGTTTTCTTTAAAAAGAGGCAGAACTGTCCATTTCTCCTGGTGAAGACTTTACCTAAAACCTGACTCATACCTGCCAGATTTTTTGGAGTACAAATAACACTTGACAGTTGTTGCTTTTCTAGTTTGAAAGTGATAGTAATGTTTTGCTTTTCTTTACAACCTCTACTAACATAATCCAAAAGCACAAAAAAAGTTTTTTCTTTAATAATTAGCAAAAAAAGTAGTAGATACTTCATGAGAACAATCCTTCACAAGTGTTTTTAAAGATTTAGAGGTCAATGATCTCTAAAGAGCCTTTAATGAGGTCAATAATTCACCAAATGTGAAGCAGTAAGCCATTTTCTAACAATTCAATTACAGAAAAGTTTGTTTATATTACATAGCACTGGCTATGAAACTAAGTAAAACTAGAAATACTAAAAATAAAAATAATCAACCTATTTGAAGAGTGAGAATTCCCCAGTCTTACAATGTAATCTGTACTACATCAATTTAAACACACCCATAGTCAGCTTTCTTTAAAAAGTCAGTTTTTACTTTTAGCAATTCAAAACATAGTTACATAAGACAACCTCAAACTCTGTATTTATCTTCAGAAAATGCAAGAATTAAGATTGGACTTGATGCAGCTGATTCAGGTTAGATTCCATTCAGATAAAGATATAGAAAGCCACATTTTAAATTTAAATTAATGCTGATCATCACTACTTATTTTCTGCGCACCATGAAGTAGTTTCCAACAAATCGAAAACTCAACCATGCATCCGTATCAGCATCAGCAAGCCTACTGGCTGCGTTAGAACTTCTTCCAGAATTCACTTCAGAGTGATTGGTCATTGCAGCAGATTATTTTAGCACAGAGGCTTTTTTCACTCACAAATTAATGATGACATTTAAAATTCCAGACTCTTGCAGCACAAGTTAATATTCTCCAAGTATTCTTTGTTCTGATATCCATTTCCTTCTGCATCATCTTCACTTTCCTTCCTGTCCTCTCTCCATTCAGCTTTTCACCTAGAAGACTGTCTCTTATCCATCACGCTGCTTATTCTCTTTGTAGATACCCCATGAGAACAGAAAAATATCCTGATCTCAGTTCGGATTTTTCAGACACCTGAAAACCAGAAGTCTGTTCAGTTACTTCGCGTCTGGTACAGAGTTTTGAAAAGGAAGTACCAGCTTTACTCCCAGCCTTTCAGCATTCAGTCAGTGAGTTTCCAACAATGATCATTCAGAGATTTACACTTTTTCTTCCAAATATGTATGAGGGTATACATGATGCTGGTAAGCATATTTAGGGATAGAGAACATTACCTAATGAAAAAAAAAAAAAAACAACACCTTGTTCCAAAGTATCATGAAGCATAACTTCATAGAAAGCTGATTAATTTCTCAGATGCTCAGAGCAATGAATACATACACACTGGAAAGAGACATGTGCAGCTTTCTCAGATTGGCAATTACTATACTGTGTTAAGAAACAATCTGGTACATAAGACACATTTACCTGCTGCTTCTGTCTCCAAATTCCCCGTTAGCAGTACAAAAATTACAACAGAAAAATAGACTATTCAAAACATTACCTAAGGTGTTATAAAACGCATATTGTATTTTACTAGTGCTGCCTTGGGATGGTGCGGTTATCGGTGAGAGGCTTTCCTGCTTCGAGCTGCTGTCTGGTCCACAAGCAGCTCCCTGGGAATTTTCCTCGTAGTTTGCATTGGGAACTGACATCACGTACTGCCGAGATGCATTCACTTCCATTCTCAGAACACATGTGCCAAAAGCAGTAAGGAATGCATTGCAATTTACTCTTAATTACCCAATGTAAATGTACCAGTGCCTGTTTCACTAAGTTTAGTCCAACAGACAAGGTGTTTGCTCAAAATAATTTCACTGATCATTCAACCATATTTAAAGGCTAAAGCTTTATTTTCCCATGTTTTACTATTTTTTCATTATTTTCTCTCATTTCCTTGTCCTCCTCCACACATAACATATTTAAGACTGTGTGTAGCATCAAAGAAAGAAAAATAATTAGATGCAATGTCACCCTATGAAAGACAAAGAATCAATTAATTAAGGTGGAGACATGCCTTGACATTCACACACTAGGGGAAAAGAAAAAAGGCACAAGAGCACTAATGTGCAATAAACAAACAGGACTGCAGATGTATCTCAGACCTACTCCTTAATGTAAAGAGAGCACTTTTGGGGAAAGCCCACTTGTACATAAGGCATCTTTGTAAGAAGCAGGTAATAGCACCTCACATCAACAGGTCAAGCACCGGCACCAACAGCGATACCATCCTTTTACTGATGTACAAGGTTTTGATCTCTCTTATAGTAGTAAGTCTATTCAGTATCCAGTAGCAGAACCAACTAGGAGTAAAAAGCTTTATTCTTCTATAAAGTGGAGGGTTTGTGGGGTTTTTTCATTAGCTAATCAAGTTATTTCCACACTCAAATAGGGACCAGGAAATAGAATGCCCAGTACACTCTCACTTGGTGATGCTAGCCAAGACACCAATTCTAAAAACCAAAACTAGATTACAATTTGCGCTTACTGGTAAAATATAAAACCAGGCGGTAACATCTGCGGAAGCACTTAGAGAGTTACATCTTTGCTTCAGACAATTCTGATCTACTCAGATGATGCTCTTAACTCTAGTTCACACCTAAATCCTTCTTACAGGAGTTTCATGACACTTCAAGCACAAGCCAGCTGATCACGCTGGAAGTACAGGTTACAGCCAAGGCATTTGCTTTCACTCAGTCAACTAAGAAACTTTTCAGCAAGGAAAATCACTCACTAGTACAGCTGCCTCATTCATGCTTAGCAAGAATAAGAACAGTATTCTAAACTCTTTCTCCTATATTCATTACATCAGAGCAGCACATTTTACTGCAGTGTTAAGAGATTCAAAGTGATGCCCCCAAAGGTCCTAGCAACTCACACTGGGGGGCACAGCATCAGAGGCAGGAAGTCGCTGCTCACCGTTGCATCAAACTGATGTATCCTCCAGGTAGACAAATACTGTAGTCAGAACTGAATGTGAGATTCCACAGCCTGTACATGCACACCATTTTTGTTAACATGCTTTTGGTCCTATCTTACATAAGCAATAGACCACAGAGAAATACCTGGGACAGCATTTTTGGGCTTGAGGCTGTGCCATGTCAACACAGCACATCATCATGAAATGAAAGGGAAAACACTCTCCAGAGAGGCAGACTGGCAACATTTGCCTGGGCACAGTGTCACACTAGCCAGCTACGCTGCTTTTGGTACCACTGCTAGACTGCTCCACACAGCACCTGGCAGCTCTCAGATCTGCCCATCAGTACCCATAAAAGCCCAACATTAAGTTGCAGTGCCTCTTTCTAACTTCTGCTTGTTCTTAATCCTGAGTTCTGCAAGTCAACAGCATCATGGGGTCCTTTAGTGAAGAGATCCAAATATTTTTATTATTGAAACAAAACTAATCTGTACCTTGGGCAGGCCAATCAGAAGTTTTACAAGTACTACTGGGTAATAAGACACAGCAATTTTTTTGCGTTGCTCCGCATTTACCCCACTTGGCCTTTGTTTATCGTCCCTCAAACATCAATATCCCAAAAGGAAAATGTCTGTCTGTTCAGAAAATACTGCCTGGTAACTGATAAGAATGATGGATCAGATGAATCCTATATCCTCAATATCAAAGACTTCATTTCTCAGAAAGTCACCTTTCCTTGCATTCATTTTCATGAACAGTGCTTTAAGAGCCTTTCAGTGAATAAAGCATTAATGTAAATGGAACAAACACAATTAAATTTACAAAATAAATTTCCCATGCTAGCTGCAATGTCAGCTGACAGTTTCAAATGAAAATAAATAGACTTCATACCACAATATATTAAAAATTTAGAATAGCTATCCTCACTCCAGTTGGTTTTAAAGACAGAATTATGTGGGAAGGTTTTTAAAAAAAGCTTTCTTGCTTTTGTGGCAAACATCAGCATTTACGCCTGCCTGAGCAACAATGAATTCAATATTTTCAAAAAGAAAGACTAGTTTTAAAGTCTACTTTAGTTAATGCTGAAGTAATGGAGAAAACAGTATTAAATATTAATTCCATTCAAAAGCAGAATTGACCTGAGGAGATGTAACTAGCCACATAAATCCACATTACCACCATATAGCAGACATCTCAAGACTATTCATACTCCATAGATTGTGAGTTCTATGTATTCATGAGCTAATGTTACAATACATTAGAAAGGACTGACAATGAAAAAAATAGCTCAGCTATTTTAAAAGCTGTATATTTCACTAAAATCTCTCTCCTCCGTTGCTAATAAAGCAATAGCAATGTTGTTAATTGAATTTTCATACTTCAGCAAAGAGACAAACGTAAAACCTGAGCACATTTATGTTTTTCATAAGTATGGACATTGTACCTGTGAAAGTCTTTACTGATTACTCAGAGTTGTTTTGAGACAACAGTATTGTATTTTAAAGTG